GATTGAGCCTGCAACCTGGGCATATGCTCTGACCAGGAATTGAACCATGACCTCCTGGTTCACAGGTCAATGATCAACCATTAAGCCATGCCAGCTGGGATGTAAAGTTTCTTTGGAGAAACCAGCTGACAGTCAGTCTTATGGGAGCTTCCCTTGTAGGTAACTGCTTTTAAGATTGTCTTTAACCTTTTGCATTTTAATTATGACGTTTTTTGGTGTGGATCTCTTTAGGTTCATTTGTTTGGAACTCTGATATCCCTGGACTTCTATGTCTGTTTCCTTCACCAACTTAAGTTTTCTGTAATTATTTCTTCAAATTTCTTGCTTTCTCTTCTCCTTCCAGCACCATGATGCAAATGTTGGTACACTTGAAATTGTCCCAGACTCCTTACACTACCCTCATTACCCTCATTTTGGGGGGGAGGGGGAGATTCTTTTTTCTTGGGTTTTTTTTTTTGCTTTCTTACATTCCAAGTCAATGATTTGATTTTTGGCTTCACCTACTCTACTGTTGATTCCCTGTAAATTATTCTTTATTTCAATTAGTTTTTTTTTTTTAATTTTTATTAATGCTGTTGAGGTTATCACTAAGTTTCCTGAGCATCCTTATAACCAGTGTTTTGAACTCTGAATCTAGTTGATTGCTTGTCTCCATTTTATTTTTTTCTGGAATTCTGTTCCATTCTTTAATGTGGGATGTTTGTCTCCTCATTTTGGTTGCCTCCTTGTACTTGTTTCTCTGTATTAGGTAGAGCTACTATGTTTCCTAGGCATGACAGCATAGCCTAATGTAATTGGTGACCTGTGGGGTCCAGCAGCACAGCATTCCTGATCATCCAAGTTTGACACTACAGCTGTACCCTCCCCCATGTGGGCTGTACACCCTTCTGTTGTAATTGAGTCTTTTTTTTAAAAAAATATATTTTATTGATTTTTTACAGAGAGGAAGGGAGAGAGATAGATAGAAACGTCGATGAGAAACATCGTCCAGCTGCCTCTTGCACACCCCCCACTGGGAATGTGCCCGCAACCAATGTACATGCCCTTGACCGGAATCGAACCTGGGACCTTTCAGTCCGCAGACCGACGCTCTACCACTGAGCCAAACCGGCTTCGGCTGTAATTGAGTCTTGATTGCTGTTGGAATGTCAATGGAAAGGGTTTACTCAGGCTGATAAGCTGACCACCAACTTCTAATCACCTTGGTAGATCAGCTGTGCTTGGGCCCACCACACAGTGCAAGACTCGCTTCAGCAGGGTTTAGTACCAGCTGATGCCACCACTTCAGTATATCACTTGTGCAAGTATTTGAGTGGTGGTGTTTCAATGTTGCCTGAAGCTATCCACTGGGTGCATTGGCTTTGAGATCTTCTAGGAGTAGCAGGTCAAGGTCAGCCAATACCTGCATTCTCTCAAGGGCCACCAGGCATAAGCTACAAAGCGACCTGCAGATGGCTGTTTCTTGCCCTGGGTTTAGAGGTGCCCAGGCAAAGCTGGCTACTGTTAGTACCAGGCATAGGGCCACTTAATGAGAAGGGTTTGCTGATACCAGAAGCTGCTTGTTTAAGAGATTTTAGGAAAATCTGAAGCACCAGTCAAGACAGGCTACTCCTATAGTAAAGCCACTGGAAACAGATTGGGTGGGCCCAAAAGTTAGGTGGAAAGGGCCTCAGGGAATCACCAGGATGGTACACAGTTTAAGGTAGGTTGGCAGAGTTTCAGATATGGCACCTGATAGCTCTGTGGGGGAAAGGCTCATCAGAGAATGGCTTCTATCAATAGCCGTCTGGGAGAGAGCTGTCCCTCTGGCTCTCACCTTGATGCCAAACAATGCAATTTCTCCTCATTTATCTCTGGTGCCTTTCAAGCTGCTCCCCTATGCTGGAGCTCAGAAAGAGTGAGTCCTAGTAATGTACAGTCCCTTTTAAGAGAAACTCCCTGGGACAGCAGTGTCAGCCTTCCTCAGCTTCAAGCCATACTAGTTTTTATAGCTAGAAGTTATTGGAACTTCTTTTGCTGGCACTGAAACCCTCAGTGGGGAGGTCTGGTGTGGGACTTGGACACCTCACTTCTCACTCTACACTGCCGAGATCTCTCCTGATGTTTATGTGCCACACATGGGTATGGGACCAGCCCTTCCATGTCTCTGCCCTACTAGTCTTAATGTGGCTTCTTCAATTTCATAGTTGTAAGACTTCCATTCAGCTTGATTACAGGTGGTTCTGAATGATGTACTTTAGTTGTAATTTTTACATGGTTGTGGAAGAAGGTGAATACATTTATCTATGAGGCTATCTTGCATTTTTTTAAAATATATTTTTATTGATTTCAGAAAGGAAGGAAGAGGGAGAGATAGAAATATCAATAATGAGAATCACTGATTGGCTGCCTCCTGCATGCCTCCTTACTAGGGATCAAGCTCACAACCTGGGCATGTGCCCTTAACCAGAATCAAACCTGGGACATTTCAGCCCAAGCTGATACTCTTTCTACTGAGCCAAACTGGCTAGGGCAGTGGTCGGTAAACTCATTAGTCAACAGAGGCAAATATCAACAGTACAACGATTAACATTTCTTTTGAGAGCCAAAAAACTGACTTTTGTGCATGGGCCATGAAGTTTCAATCTCATTGTAAAAGCACGCCTGCAAATATTTTTTGGAAGAGCCATACTCAAGGGGCCAAAGAGCCACATGTGGCTTGTGAGCCGCAGTTTGCCGACCACTGGGCTAGGGCAACCATCTTGCATCTTGACTGGTAGTTTTTTTTTTTTCTCATTTGCCTATTTTTATATTTGGTTGACTTTTTCTTATTGATCTGTAAGAATTTTTTAAAAGTCTTCACCCAAGGATATGTTTTTTTATTTTTAGAGAGGGAGGAAAAGAGAGATTGAGGGTATCAGGGATAGAGAGAAGGGGGAGAAAGAGAAACAATGGTTGTTTCCTGTACTCGCCTTGACCTTGGATTGAACCCACAACCTTTTGGTACACAGAACGATGGTCTAAAACTGAGTTACCAAGACAAGGCAATTTCTAAGAATTTTTAAAATATATCTTTATTACTAATCTTTTGTGGTTATGTGTATTACAAATGTCTTCTCCTGGTTCATAGCCTGTGTCTTCACTTTTAAAAAATATATATTTTTATTGATTTCAGGAAGGAAGAGGGAAAGAGTAATAGAAACATCAATGATGAAAATCATTGATCGGCTGCCTCCTGCATGCCCCCTATTGGGGATCAAACCTGCAACCTCGGCATGTACCCTTGACCAGAATCGAACCCAGAATCCTTCAGTCCGAAGGGCAACGCTATATCCACTGAGCCAAACCAGCTAGGGCATCTTTTCACTTTTTAAAGATGTCTTCTGATAAACAGAAGTTGTTAGCTTTAATAAAGTCAAATTTACCAATCTTTTATGACTCATGTAGGTTTTTTGAGTTTTGTGTGCCTGTGTGTGTGCGTTTGGGGGAGGAAGGACAGTGTGGTGTAAAATTTTAAATTACCATTTCAATGTCTTTTATAGTTTTAGGACTATTTAAGCTTTTTATTTCTTCTGGAATCATTTTTTAGTGATATTTTTCTAAGAATTTACACATTTTGTCAAAGTTTTCAAAGTACTAACATAAAGTTGACAAAATTGCCCCATTAGCTTCTTAAATTTTGCTACATCTGTAGTTACGTTCCCTTTTTCAGTTATCTGTGCTCTTTTTCTTCCATCTAACCAGCTGAACCTGTTTGATATATATATATATATATATAGTTCTTAAAAAGAACCAACTTTTGTTCGTTTGGTTCTATCTATTGTACCTATTTTTATTTGGTTGATTTCAGTTCTTACCTGTATTCTCCCCCCACTCCCCCACTTTTTTAGTTTATTGTGTTGTTAGAAACTTTTCTAGTTCTGCAATTATGGAGCAAGTTTCTAATATTTATGAAGTTATAATTACTGGAGGATTCAAAATGATAATCTATAAAAACACTAGCACTGTCTCCTTCATATGATACCCTGTTTCCCTGAAAATAAGACAGTGTCTTGTATTAATTTTTTCCCCCAAAGTTGCGCTAGGTCTTATTTTCAGGGGATGTCTTTTTTTAAAAAAAATTTTATTTTTTTATTAAATTATTATCTTTGTACATATTTTACCATTGCCCCCCCCTCCCATACATATCCACCCTCCCCAGAGTTTTGTGTCCATTGGTTGTACTTATATGCATGTATTCAAGTCCTTCGGTTGATCTCTTATTTCCCCCAGATCTCCCTCCCCTCCTAAGGAGATATCTTATCTTTCCATGCGCTAGGTCTTATTTTCGGAGGATGTCTTATTTTCGGGGAAACACGGTAGACATACAACTACATGGTGGCTCTCTTTTATACAGAAACTATACAGAACAAGAACAAAAGAAAACAGAAAAGGAATGAAAACATGAACCTGGAACACTGAGAGAGTTTTAAGACAGAATCATTTTCTGAGCAGGACAAAATTAGACTCATCTCCTAATCAGATTCTGGACCTCACTCATGCCTTATCTTTGGAATGAAATGCTTTCTCTTTCATTCAATGTGACTGATAGTATAATGTGTAATTATACATTGTTGAAAAGATAGTTGGCAGGGAAAACAATGTCTCCAGAAATGTAAGCCAATAAAAGGGATTCAAGCCTTCAAGTGTATTTACTGGTAAACACACATGCACATGTGCATATCCACAATTTATGATGACAGACTATTGCTAACACTAAAAATGTTGTCTACCAAAAACCTAGTTTCATTTCCCAGTTATTCCCTCACCAGTTCCCTGTACCATATCTCCATGGAAAAAAGGAAGAATCCAAATTTCTAATGAGAGAAAACTGAGAAAGACAGAGTTTGTATCCATGATTGGAAAAAGAGCTGACATAGATCAAGTATCTATGATAGAAGAGGAGGAGACAGCATAGATGGTGTATTCACAAAATGGATGTAGTATAAATCAAGTCAAGGTGGCCAGAAAGTATTTCTTACCTGAGTATCCAAAGGAAATACTGGAGATGGGGCTCAGGTAGATGCCTTTGCCATAGGCTGCTCCATGCAGCTTGCAGGGAAACACCAGGATGAGCAATATGAGCCTAGGCCCTCCCATGACTGAATATTAGGGAGCCACAAGGTGTAGCCAGCCCTCTCTTCCCTCCATTATCACTAATTCAGATGGTTCTAGGCATCTAGTCTTAAAATGCCAATTGGCTGAACACTGATTGCAAGTTAACCCTTTTGTCTATAAAATAATAAATATTGAAGACTTGGAGAGTGAGGAATAGCACAGCCGCTGAGTCAGTCCCTCAGAATTCATGTTCCAGTCCCCAGGTATTGGTACATATGCAGATCCCCTGCTCTTCCCCCCCCCCCCCCCAAAAAAAAAAAAAAAAGAACTACAGAACAGATAGCCAGGAAGAGGGCAATAACTGTTCCTTGGGGTTTCTCAGGGCAAAGAAATAAGTCTCCTATTAATACCATTATAATAACCAGGTTATTATTTAACAGAAAAGGAGTAAAGGAAAGACTAGGTAATATAGGCATGTCATGTATACAGCTTTGCTAATTTAACACTCTCCAAGCCTGTTCCCCATAGAGAGATATGGGAAGGAAGTGAACAAAGGCAGTTTGGACTAATGTGCAGTAAGGTCTGAGTGATGTGGGATGATACCTACCTCTCTGTCAGTCACACTGGAGAGCAAATCAGTGGCCAGAATGTGTGTGGCCACTACAGCACTATACCTGAATATTTAAGCTTCTGAACAAAGGAGCCTCTTTCTCACACACAGCTGGGCTCTTGGCTATCCTGTTGCAGAGGGGAGCTACCCTGCACCCACATGGCTCATAGCCATGTGGGACCCACACAATGGATTAATGGACTGAATCCGGACTAAATGCACTGGACCCAGATTCAACATGGAACCGATACTTGGACACTGGCTCTCCTTTTGGCTCTACTGGAACCCCAACTGCACTCTTTCATGACTGGTTTAAGGAGCATAGGACTTTGGAACCTGAGGAATGTAACTCCCTACCAATAAAGCCTTTTACCATATCTCATTCTCCCACGGGGGCTTCTGAAAATGCTTATTTCAGTGTTACCTCTAGAGCCACCCACTCCCATGAGCATAGGAGAAATTTAATTCTCTGGTGATATTATACAACTCTGAATAAATAGTCACATATATTGAAAAGTACTAATAGGGTAATTCATCTAATGGCTGCAAAATTGGAGGTAAAATATATAAAAGCTACATTCATTCTATACATACTGTTCCAACTTCCTCCCTAGGGAAGCCACACGCAGACTAAATTTAAGGATGCTGAGGCAAAAACAACTGAGTACTCAAGGGCAGACTTTCCCAAAACCGAGTGGGACAGAAAACAGGGGGTGGAGAAAAAGAAAAAAGGGGCACAGCCTCACCTGCAGTTTGGTGTAGGATGCATTCACCAGCCCATTGCGCAGGATTGAATGCCAGTTCTCAATGTGGGACCCACTGTAAGGCAGGGTAGAATGCTTATCTTTTCACAGTAGGAAGTTCCCAGGAGTACTTTCAAGAATACCATTCCCACCCACTCTCACCCACACAGGACATGAAGATGGACACATGGGCATGCATATGGACATAGTCACAAGCATGCAGATGGATGTGTGTGACTAACCTCTTATATGTTAATATCCAGTCCCATCATCTCTTCCATGCTTTAGCTACTTGCATTCTAAATCCTCCACTGCTTATTCAATATTTTCACCTGCATATTCCCCTAAATTTCAGATTGAATTCTTCTCAAACTCAACAAACTTATCACTGAATGCAAATATGGCTTACAGACCTGAACTCAGGTTTACTCTGGGAAAAGAGTACCACTACTCCTGTGCATTACCTTTAATATGACTCTTTTTTTCTCTTTTCTCCCACAATTATGATTTCATCAAGCTAGTTTTCAAATCTAATCCCTCTAATCTGTTTTTTTCAACCACGCTTTCATATGCAACTGCCATTTCTCAACTATATCATAAATAGCTTGAGAGTAAAGGCCATATCACATGCTATCTTTTTATATTCTACAGCAAGCATGTCAAACTCAAAGGCTAACAGGGGCCAAATAAAAAGGTTTAAGTTTATGATGTGGGCCACAAAAAACACAAGCTTCAATTTTCATAGAAACATAGGTTTGGCTGAAACCGGTTTGGCTCAGTGATAAGAGCATCGGTCTGTGGACTAAAAGGTCCCAGATTTGAGTCCAGCCAAGGGCATTTACATTGGTTGAGGGCACATTCCCGGTAGGGGGTGTGCAGGAGGCAGCTGGTCGATGTTTCTCTCTCATCGATGTTTCTGGCTCTCTATTCCTCTCTCTTCCTCTCTGTAAAAAAAAATCAATAAAATATATTTAAAAGAAAGAAACATAGGTTTATTTTGATAGAGACATGCTGAATACAAAGGTCTGAAATAAATGAGTAATCATTCACATAAAATAGAACATTTTAATAAAAATATTTTTTCTTGAATATTAATTTACCAGACACTGAAAAACTGCATACATTAATAAGCATAATACAAATAAACCTATTTTTCTTGTTCTCTTTAAGAGAAATATTTCCTGTTGTGCAAACCAAACAAGTCTGTAAAAAACTAATGACATGGCAATTGGTTGCTAAAATTTTTGCTGCTATCGATAGTATTAGTGGAGAGAAACGGTGCACCTGTGCAAGGCATGTAAGGAAAATGAATGCAACACAACTATAGTAATCAGTCATTAGCAAATACTGTAGTTCATTATTAATAACTATGTATCACAGGATATTGTAAAAGTTAAGTTATGAAATTTTTATTAAAACATTTCTGACATACTGTCATATTGGTTGGGCTGCAAAAATATTCGTTGTAGCCACTTGCGGCTTGTGGGCCGCGAGTTTGACATGCTTGTTCTACAGAATCTACCACAATATAACTAATTGTTAACTGGTGATGAACATAGGTAACACAAACTCATTAATCTCAAATGAACTCTCCCATCACCTTACATTTGTTTCCCTCTGCTTTTCCCACCATCCCCCTCTTACTGGAAGGCAAAAGTGCTGCCATAGAGCTTCTTGGCAGTCCGGAACCGTGCCTCCTTGGCAGGAGGGCTGCTCAGCAGGAGGAACTGATGTGAGGTGTGCATGAACTTCAGCTGCTGCCAGGGTGGGGTGGGGTTAGAAAAACAGAGCAGAAATGGAGATCAGGGAGAGAAGGGTTGGGGATAGGGAGCAAATTAGGCTTACAATGACCCCAAATAAAGGAAATATGCTTAGGCCCCAAAACCATTATTTTTATTTTATTTATTTATTTATTTTTTATTGATTTTTTACAGAGAGGAAGAGAGAGGGATAGAGAGATAGAAATATTGATGAGAGAGAAACTATCGATCAGCTGCCTCTTGCACACCCCCTACTGGGGATGTGCCCTCAACCAAGGTACATGCCCTTGACCAGAATCGAACCTGGGACCTTTCAGTCCACACGCAGTGGTCCTCAAACTTTTTAAAGTGGGGGCCAGATCACGGTCCCTCAGAGAGCTGGAGGGCCGGACTATATGAACTACTAATTCCTACTGTAACACCTCGGCTGCGCTCACTGCCCAAAAAACCTGGTGGGCCGGATCAGACTCCTCTGCGGGCCGCATGTGGCCCACGGGCCGTAGTTTGAAGACGCCTGGTCCACAGGCTGACGCTCTATCCACTGCGCAAAACCGGTTTTGGCCCAAAGACCATTATTGATGGGCAGAGACAATCAGGAAAATCTAGGACCAATGTAGTTGGCTGGATTGGAGGCCCCTCCTGCCTCTCATCAGATATTTAAGTTTAGAAGAAAAAAGGTCACTTACCCTGCTGAGAGGTAGTTTGACAATGTGTGACCTGTTACTAGAGATGATCCTAGAACAAAAGAGAGAAATAAGGAAAATGTCAGAGTAAGTGTGTGGTTAGGCCATTGTGAACAAAGCAGCAGCCTTTCTGTGCCCTTAAGAGAACAAGCAAGGATTCCAGGGTTGTCTGAATTGTGTGAAATACCCAGGCCACCATCAGGATATTCCCTTGGGTAGTAATGCTTGCATATAAAAATGTTAAAAAAAAAAAAAAAGCTAGTTACTGATAGTTAAATAACAGATGAAAGAGAGGGATGGGAAGTGAGCTGCTACATCTAGGGAGAGAAAAGAATCGAACAAAAAGAAGAGAACAAGAAGTCAGTTAAATAAATGAGAGAGAGGTCTGTATTAGAATGGTGATGAATTATCCTTGGGATTTAGAAACTCAGAACTGAGCTCAGGACCATCCCACTTGAACTCAGAGGAAGTTTGAAGGCTCTTGGGGATGGTGAAGAATGGATAGAATATTACTGCTTGGGCAGAAGAAAGAAGTAGACGAAACTAGAACAAACTTCATGAGGATTCAAGGATAGACTAGGCTATATGTAGGCTGGACTCAGAGGACAAAAGAGAACAAAGGAATAAAACACTAAGGGATCAGCAAAGGAACATTATCTCCTATAGTGGATGGTTTAGTTTTTCTGTGCTTCACCAATGTACTTATGATGCCATTTTGGAAGATCTATGCCTTGTCATTCCTCATGCTAAAAAGGGAGCATGCTACATTGAGAAACTACTGATGTCTAAGGCTGACTAAGAAAAAAGGGAAAAGCCATGTCAAGAAAACAGAACAGGAATCAAGATCAGGGAGGGAACCATCAACAAAATGGAAAAGGGAACCCAATGTACGAGAGAACATTTCCCAATGATATATCTGATTAGGGGTTAATTTCCAAAATATGTAAACAACTCATACAACTCAACATCAGGAAGACAAACTATTCAATTAAAAAATGGGCAAAATTCTGGCTGGTGTAGCTCAGTGGTTCAACAATGACCCATAAAATGAGAGGAACCCCTGGTCAGGGCACATGCCTGGGTTTCAGGCATGATCCCAGGACCAGAAGTGGGGTGGTGGGGGGAAGAAGAGAGGGGAACATGCATGCAAAAAGGCAGTCAATCAATGTGTCTCTCTCATCTCTCTATCCCTCTCCCTTCCTCTCACTCTCTAAAATCAATATAAAATATATTTTTTTAAATGGGCAAAGGACCTGAATAGATACTTTTCCAAAGAGGACATTCAGATGGCCAATAAACATATGAAAAATGCTCAACATCACTAATCATCAGAGAAATGCAAATTAAAACTACAATGAGGTATCACTTTATACCTGCCAGAATGGCTACCTTCAATAAATCAACAAACAATAAATGCTGGTGAGGCTATGAAGAAAAAGGAACCCTAGTACACTGCTAGTAATAATGCTGACTGGTGTAGCCACTGTGGAACACAGTATGAGATTTCCTCAAAAAAATTAAAAATGGATTGCCATTTAACTCAGTAATTCCACTTTAGGGAATATGTCCTAAGACTCTTGAAACACCAATCAGAAAGAATATATGCATCCTATGTTCATAGTGGCATTATTTACAATAGCTAAGATCTGGAGACTGCCCAAATGCCCAGCAATAGATGAGGTAAAAAAGCTGTGGTATATTACACAATGGAATATTTTGCAGTTGTAAAAAAGAAGGATCTCTTACCCTTTGCAACAGCATGGATGAACCTGGAGATTATTATGCTAAGTGAAATAAGCCAGTCAGAGAAAGACAAATATCACATGATCTTACTTATCTAATCAACAAAATAAACTGACAAACAAAATAGATCTAAAGGCATGGATGCATGGTACAGACTGACATATTTTGGAGGTGAGGAAGTGGGGGAGGGAAGAAGGAAATTGGAAGAGGTTAACCAAAGAACAGACAATAGTGTGATGAGGGACAGGGGCTGGGTGAAGGGGGACTAGTGGGGAGAAAGGAGGACATCTGTAATACTGTCAACAATAAAAAAAAAAAAAAAAAATAGAGCCTTGGTCGACAGCAGCTGCCCTCTCACTACAATAAGACTTGTTTGAGTTGTCTTGTACCCATGGTATGGGGAAGTGGGTTTTTGATATCTAAATCCAGCCTACCATCATGAATGCACAAGGCCTACTCAAGAAGGCAAATAATCCTTTCCCTTAATATTTACAGAGTAAAATAAGATTGTTGTTAGAGTAATAAATTTGACAGTAAAATAGTCAAGTTTTCACGCTAATTTAAATTGGCTAATTAAAATAAGCGAATACCCTAGAAAAATTAATAGTACTGGACAAAAAGCTGTTCCTGAAGTGTTAACTAAAATTTTTATTGGTAGTTCATCTCAGGATAAAATCTCACAACAGGAAATGAACCTAAAGCAGTCATATTATAATGCAAAAAAATTAAAATTTAAAAGCTATCAAGACTACATTAAAAATTTTCAAAAGCCTTCTAATATTTCAATCAAAAAAGGGAGAAAAGTAGAAGAATATCATGTAAAGAAAAATATCCTGTAAGTAAATTACATCTAGAAAATTTGAACTTTAGAAAATTAATTGTAATGCTATCAGCAGGACACCCATGAAAAACACACATGGTGTCAAAACAAGCCAGAGGAAAATCATCTGGGCAAAAAATAAAAAAGGATCCCAAGTCAAATTTATAGAAAATATTCCTTTATTAACTTTTGGTCGAGAATATGTTTGTATATTTTCAGAGAACAACTCCGAGACCATGTGGATTCTGGCAACAGAGAGGAATTGACAGGACTACTCCAGCCATGAAAACAGAAGAGAAGCAGTCCAGAGATGAAAAATGCTGACATCACCTTGCCATGACAGCAGTCAGCAGCTGGGAGTCATTGCAGGTTGTCCAGGACCAAACCAGAGAAGGTCGGACCAGCATTGCCACCATTTGTCCACCATCCACAACTGAAATATCATTGCTGACATATACACATAAGGAACTGTTTGACATTGATATTGGGTCTCAAAAGAACTGGTGGCCCAGAAAGAAACTCACTACAGACTGATTCATATGCCTTTCAGCATAACCATTATTGCTTGTCTCATTCTCAATTCTTATAAGTATATTTCCAGTAGGACATGATCTCACTCATCTAGGGAAAATGATGAACAACAGACTGATAAATAAGAACAGACCCAGAGACAAGGAGGCATGAATCAGATTGTTGGACCTCAGAGGGAGGGTGGGGATAAAAGGGAGAGATCAACCAAAGGACTTGTGTGCATACATATGAACCTAACCAGTGGTCAAAGACATCAGGGTGTGGGGGTATGAATGGGGAGGAGTCGGGGATGGGAATGGGGGATGAGGACAAATATGTGATACCTTAATCAATAGAAATTTAAACAAACAAACAAACAAATAAATAAATAAATCAGAGGGAGGGTGGGGTTGAAGGCAGTAGAGAATGGTCAGAATCTTTGCTGAAAGGTTCTGGACAGTCTATGTCAATGGGGAAGACCTTGAGACAGGAAAAGGGAATAGTAGGGTGCACTGAAGTTATCTGATGCAAAAAGAGTTAATTCCTATATGCAAGGGGCACTCAAAAACCTCCTGAGAAATAAGAAACCCATAACAAGAAGTTGAGACATCTCAGAATTTATGGGTTTTCTATAGGATTTGAGTTCTTGTCAAAGCTTGGTGTCAATAAAACCACAAGAAAAAGCAGCCATCTTTTTATAAAAATCACATTGGTTTCAAATGTTGATTACCAACCTAATAAAAGCTCCTTTCTCTTATCACAAGACAAAATGTTATCTCTTTCCAAAAAGAACCTGATGTTTCAAAGATGATCCTTAAGTCTGCTCTATATTTGCCATGAGTTTACATCTTAGCTTAGCATTAGCTGAGCCTTAATTCTTTCAATGACCAAAAATCTATATATATTAATATAAAAACCTAATATGCAAAGTGTCCTCTCAGGAGTTTGACGGACTGGGAGCTCGATCACTCGCTATGATGTGTGCTAACCATCAGGGTGTGGTGTGGAATGAAGGAAGGCCCTGGCCAGCAGCTGGCAGCCGGGTAAGGGAGGCCCCGGCTTGCAGCCAGCAGCAACTAGGAACTCTACCCATGCATGAATTTTGTGCACTGGGCCTCTAGTCTTGTATAATAAAGAGGTAATATGCAAATTAAACCTCACAAGATGGCTGCCTACAACCAGGTGTGGGGGAGGGGCGGGGATAGTGAGGGACAACCAAATGACTGAACAGCAGGCTGCATGGGGAGAGGCCGTGAGGGACAACCAGGTCAGCATGGGGGCAGTAAGGGGCGACCAGGCAGGTTGGGGGGGGTGGTTGCAATTGGGGGCAGGCAGCAGAAGGGGCAATTGGGTGCGATTAGGCTGGCAAGGGGGACAGTGAGGAGCAACCAGACCAGAAGGAGGGGCAGTTAGGGGCAACCAGGCTGTCAGAGGGGGGCAGGAAGTGACCAGGCTGACGGGGAGGAAGGGGGCAGTTAAGGGGTGACTAGGCAGGCAGGCAGGTGAGCAATTAGGATCCAGCGGTCCGGGATTGTGAGAGGGATGTCCGACTGCCGGTTTAGGCCCAATCCCCAGGATCGGGCTTAAACCGGCAGTCGGACATCCCCCAAGAGGTCCCAGATTGGATGAGGGTGCAGGCTGAACTGAGGGGACCCCCATGTGCACAAATTTCGTGCACTGGGTCTGGAAGGAAGGAAGGAAGGAAAAAAGGAAGGAAGAAAGGAATGAAGCTGAAACTGTCTCTAAGAGAAGGTGTAGGCTACACATCTAATACCATGTCCCTGCCCCACTCTGGGAAGGATGAACCATTCTATCCATACCATTGCAGGAGAGGATGGGCCAGGGGATCCAGCTTGTCCATCTGCTTCTTGATTTCTAGGTATGATCCCTGTAAAACAATAGCCATAAGGTTAACTTCCAGGAGCAGTGGGAGCCCTCCTACTTTCCACAGATGACTATCAGGACCCAGGGCAAGGTAGGTAATGAAGGCCATACAAAGGCAAGAGGAGATGGGTTCCCACTCATAAGGAACCCAGTCAGATTGGGAAGATTCATAAATAAATATGAAAATGAATGAAGATGCTTACAAAACAACATGTAGGTGGGTCTCCCTCATTTTATGCAATTCCTACCACCCTACAAAGTTGATTGTAAATAAAAAATAAATGAAATCAATGTCAGAAAGAATAGGCTAAGGAATCCTGTGGTAAAACTTTACATAAAGCAAAGAGTTCTTCTGACAAGCAAATCATCCCTTGTTGGTGTATCTTATGTATTAATATCAATTGTGATATGTAGGATTTGCTAAGAGGCCCACCTGTAAATGAGCACAAATGAATGTCCATTTATACAGAGATTTTAGACCAGGGGAGGGGAAGTCTGGTGAGGCCTTGAGTCAAAGGATTGCCACTGCTCCATGTGGCTGCCCCACCCCTAGAAGGATAGAAGATGGAGGTCCCTGGGTCTAGTTCCTTATCTCCAAGAACTCCTTCTAAACCTCCCAACAGTCTTTCCCTTACCTAATTTCCTAAGAATTATGAAAAAATAAACATTAAATATGAACAACCTGTTAAGGAATTAGCAGCAAAAGCAAAGGTTGAGGGAGACATTAAGAGTAAGAAAGAAGAGTAATAACACAGTTAATAAAACAGAACAGGAGGGAAGACAAAAGTAAACACTGTGAGGAATCTGAGTAGCATCTCTAAGTCTTCACTCCACTTCCATGCATTGCAAACAGAATACAACACTTGTGGCTCAAGCAGAGGGCAGGGGACAGGCAAACGGTAGACTACCTGGGTCATCTCCCGGATGGACATCACACTATCCAGAGCTTTCTGAAGTCGTTCATAATTCTTCTTCTGTGGCAAATCAATGGGAAGAGAAAAATCAGATGAAGAAAAATGAAGAGTCAAGATGTGAAAAAAAGCAGAACCAGATATACAAAAAAAAGTTTAGGCCCTAGGGAAAGGATAGTATGTCATGGAAAGAAAAGAGATTTAATGTTAATCACATGCTAGTTCTCTACCAACTGGGAGTAATAGGGTTAGTTACTTAACCTCTTGGAAGCCCAGTAATCTTGTGAATAAATGAAGATAAAAATTCCCACTATCCTAACCTAGATGTTCTGAAATAACATATGTAAAGAACCATAGTGTGTGACATATAACGATGAGTAATAGTCAGGTACTATAATGATTGTGTCCATCATTAATAATGTCAATTTCATTGGGCCAAGGAATGCCCAAACATTTGGTCAAACATTATTTTGGGGAGTGTCTGTGATAGGGTTCCTAGATGAGATTAATCTTTGAATCAGTAGACTAAGTAAAGCATATTGCCCTCCCTAATTTGTGTGGGCCTTGTGCAATCAGTGTAAGGTCTGAATAAACAAAAAGGCCAAGCAGGAGGCTCCTCCTGCCTGACTTCTTGAAGCAGGGACAGTGGTCTTTTTCTGTCTTTGGACTCAAATCTGGAGATTGCTACATTTGTATTGGAACTTAAATAATTGGCTCTCCTGAGTCTCTCTAGTCTGCTGACTGCTAATCCTGAGACTTCTGAGCCTTCATATTTATGAGCCAATTCCTTATAATAAATCTCCTATTGGTTATGATTCTCTGGAGAACTCTATCCAATGCAATACTTTACATATTATCCCTAATTTTTATAACAATCCACAAGGTAGATATTATCCCCTTTTTATAGATAAGGAAATTGAGATTCATTAAGGTTAACTGACTTGTCTAAAAACACTCAGCTAGGAAACAGCAGAGTTTCAAGTGGAATCCAAGTCTGCCTGGCTCCAAAGTCTTTATTCTTCCCTTTTATGCCATAATTAATATTAATTCTTCTCTTCTTCTTCTGACAAAGACAGTTATTTTTTCACTAAAATAGCTAAAACTTAAGGGTCAAGAGTTCCCAAGAAACAGGTCTTTCATTTCTTCTGATCCTTATTCTAAGATGCTGTGTAACTAGAATGACAGCTCATAGTCTCCACTATTTTCTACTGTTTCTGTTCCTTAGCCCTGACTTTCTTCCCAAGCAACTATACCTTAGGGTTAAAGGCCAAAGTTTTGGGATCAGTAGGGTCCACAACAGAGGGATAAGGCTCAAAGATGATGCTTTTTCTAGGGGACTCCAAAGCTGCCCTACACATGGCCACCAGCAGATCCACCACCTTAGGGGAAAAGAGAGAAAGGGTTAGCAAAAGCCAAATGATTTTTCAGTTCTAGAAAACACATAATATCCAGAATAAATCTACCTTTTGGGATTTCAGCATTTTTCTCTGCTCTTCTTTTTAAAAGCAAATATGCTTTTTCCATTAGATAATATAAACTCATAAAATTTCAAATAACAATGATTTAGAAAGTGATTAAAAAATCCTGGCAGAATAGCTCAGTTGCTTAGAGTGTTGACTCAATGCACCAAGTTTATAGGTTTGATTCCCAATGAGAGCACATACAAGAATCAACCAATGAGTGCATAAATAAGTGGAACAACAAATCAATGTTTCTTACTCTTTCTCTCTCCCCAGCTCTAAAAATCAATTTTAAAAAAGTGATTAAAGATAAAATTCATCCCCTAAACAAATCTCATTCCTCATAGGTAAACTGCTAAGTTTGATGTACATCCTTCCAGATATTTTTCCTATGGAAATAGTTATTTTATTATATAGGCAATAAAAAAAAAGAACTATACTATTTATACTGATGTGTTTCCTTATATGTTATAATTTTCTATCCATAAATAATAGCTGAATAGTTTTTCCACTGTAGGGACATAAAGCATTTCCAGAGGTTAAGTTCTAAGGAATGAAAATGCTAGATTCCCCAGCCTTAAAAAAATATATATATATATAATTGATTTCAGAGAGGAAGGGAGAGGGAGAGATAGAAACATCAATGATGAGAGATACCTCTGCTCCAGTGGCCACCTCCTCTGCAGCTCCAGACATGACTCCCAGTGTGTAGAAGGAGAAAACACACAGTTCACGAGTACAGACGGCTGGCTAAATGGACATATTAAAACACACAATGGTGGTAGGGGAGGTGCAGTGAAAAAGTATTGTAGGGAGAAAGGGACAATCCTGACTTCAGACAACTCTATAATGAGGCAGGAGTTTGGGGTCCACTGTGTCAAACTTACTGATAAGTTTGAAAATTAATGCTGTTTCTTATACAAAGACTTCCATAACCTTCCTAGGTAGTTAGATGCTCTCTCGTCGAGTTTCACAACACTGCTAATATCTCTTCTATACATTGATAGTGAAGTGTCTGTCTAATCACCTAGATTTGGAGTCCTTAAGGACAGTATCATACCCAATTATCTTGGTCAATATCTGATACCTACTTTTAAATGTTGGGTGGAGATTATATCTTCGAAAATATTCACATTACCTCATCTTTCCTAGTAGGAGTGCTGACATTCATTCTTTGAGAGAAACAATTATTTCTAGAGTTTCAAGAAGTAAGGACAGAATTCCACCTTTACCATAGAACCAGGAAGGAAGAAGAGATAAGGAGGAAAAGGGTCTTGACTAAGGGTCCAAGGAAGAGGGTCACAGAGCAAGGGTTTATACCTTGAGCATGGACCCATTCTGGAAGACATGCTGCTCATCACACACCACACAATACTCATTCAATGTTGGAATTCTCTGCTCTGCATACTTCATGATCTGGGGAGAGAAGAGATTCTATTAAATCTTTTGTAAGCACAGGCACAGATATGAGAACTATTTTTGAACTTCTTTTCCAGCTACTCTTCTTTCTCCCAGTCCTGTCCCTAGAAAAGAATCTTTTCTTGGGCCCTGCACTTAAACTAATGGCCTAACTCCAGAGCTAAGATTATATATTAAAAGTAAAAAAAAAAAAAAAAAAAAAAAAAAGGCCATCCTGGAAGGAAATCTGGATTAAGATTTCCCTCTTCTCTACTTAATACCACATATAACTTCAGGCAAGTCGGTTAATGTAGGCCTTGTTTCTAAAGTGGGAAATTACTCGAGAAAGACAAAAAATGGCGGAAGAATAGATGGATGGGTTCTGAGCCTTGTCCAGAAGCAGAAAGAGAGAGCAGCTGAGGGTCGCGCTGGGAGTGTTTGTTAGCAAGCTAAGGGACAGGCGAACTCCAGGAGAAGGTGGGGGACTGCTGATCAGGGTGCCCCTTACAGGGAAACACCCACATGGGGCTGGGTCACCTCCCGCAGCTACCTACGGGCTTGGATGGGGGAAATCTCGTCATCTTTAAAGGAAAAGTAGATCTTGTCAGAGGCCTGAATATCCACAACCACAGTGACCACTGAGCAGCTGTGAGCCCCAGAACACAGGTCCCAGGTGGCGCGAACACTTGGACTCAAAGGAGCACTCCACCGCATGACTAAAGGTCAGATTTCGCAGGGATAGGGTGAGTCCCTGTGAAGACAGAAGCCCGCGTGCTGCATGGAAGCTGGAGGACTGGGGCAGTGTTTACAAGGAGAAGCCGCAGGCTGTTGGGCTGTTGTGCCCCCTGATTGTGGAACAGGCTCCTAATAGGGGAGATATCTAAAGAGTAACACATTTTGATTTGACGTGGAGGGATATCCGGAGAATTACAGGGGAGTGCAGTTGGCTCGGACTTGCCCCCCAACCTCCACAGATCAGTGTCACAGAGAGAGAGAAAAAAAAAAAAAGCTAGAGAGGCTTTACAGCCCTGGAAGTCAACCTATAAACACTGCCACCCAGAGGCTAAATCACAAATTGACCCTAGTGTAATAAAAAATCAAAGCAAGGCCTGCTTAAAAATCAGGACTGCATTACAAAACTGAGGAGCAGTGAAATGCAGGGAACTGCAGTACTGTCTGGATTGGGAAACTGGCGTGTCAAACAGAATGACAGAGGAAGTGAATGACCTTTATTACTGCACTTTTACTTAATTTTTTAATTTTCATTATTTGAACATTTACTCAAGAAACTATTTTTTCTTTTTTCCTCACTTGATTTTACCTTTTTGATTAACATACTTTTATTTGTAATCAGCGTTATTACTACTACCATTTTACCTTTTTTATCTTATTTACTTTTGTTTATTTTTATTATTATTTTTTTAAGTGTCATATTATTTTCTCTTTATTTTACTTTGGGATTAGTATTCTATAGTCTATTTTTACCTTTCCTTCACCAACACTTTATTCTATCTCAAACCTATCTTTATGCCATCACTCTCTTCCTAATCTTTCCTCCGGTGTCCTGTTTATCTTAACCATTTCCTGCACTAGATTTTCCCTATTCTTTCTGTTTACCCCTGCTAAAATTTCACCCTACTTGTGTATATCTAATTACCAAACCCTTGCTCCAAGCCCATACACACCTCCCTTTTCGCTGTCCTAAAAAAAAAAAAAGTCTTTCTATCCTTTTGTAGTTGTATGTTGAATGTTAACTATATTGAAGTTTTATGCTTTTTTGTGAGATTGTTTTGCTTATTCTTTTTGTTTGATTGTATGTTTCTCTTAGTTGTGTTTTAGTTAGTTGTTACTTCTCCTTTCCATTTCCTCGCTTGATATTAGTTGGTGTTATAACTTGTATTAATCTTCAGATACTTGTTGCTTGCATTTGCTGTGATTAATGGTTGTTCTATTGGAGTTTCCTTCCCATATAAATAGTTAGTTCCTCATTTCTCTATTACTATCGTTCTAGTTTCTTTTTTCCCCTCATTCTCCCAATTTCATTTTGCCACTCCTTTTCTTTTCTTTTTTTTAACTCTTCTATCTCTCCTACCCCCTAATTTGCCTTTCTCTAATGGTCACCTTTATTGGAGGTTCTTAATATTGCAAACAAATTTCTGTTCAGTGCCTTGTGTGTTGTACCTGGTTGTGTTGTATTTTGTGCCTTTAAATCAACACAGGAGAGAGAGAGAACTGCATAACCACACATCCTGAAAGGAGAGATCAGAAGGAGACAAAGAAACAGCCCGCATATGAAAGTAAAGCAGGCATCACCAGAAAAAGAAGTAATTAAATTAGAAACAAGCAACCTACCAGAGCAAGAATTCAGAGTAATGATCATAAGATGGCTAAAAAGAATGGAAGACAAATATGACAATATGAGTAAGAACCAAGAGGAAATGAAGAAGAACCAAGAAGAAATGAAAAATGGCATCGCTACTGTAAAGAATGCAATAGAAAGCATCTCGAGTAGACTAGAAGAAGCAGAGGACCGCATCAGTGAGCTAGAAGACAAGATGGAAAAAAATACCCAATTAGAGCAGCTTCTGAAAAAAAAAAAAAAAAATTAAAAAGCAGGAGGAGAGCGTAAGGGAACGTTGGGACAATACAAAACAAAACAATATTAGAATAACAGGGGTTCCAGAAGGAAAGGAAACTGAGAAAGACATGGAAAACCTGTTTGAAGAAATAATGACAGAAAACTTTCCTGAAATAGACAACAAAAAACCCACACAAATCCAAGAAGCTCGCAGAGTCCCAAGCAAAATGAATCCCAAAAGACCAACATCAATGGGCATTATAATTAAGTTGGCAAACACCAATGACAAAGTAAGAATCTTAAAAGCAGCCAGAGACAGACAGAAAGTTACATATAAAGGAACCCCCATCAGACTAGCAACTGATTTCTCAGCAGAAACTCATCAGGCCAGAAGGGATATTAATGACATATACAAAGTCATGCAGAGAAAGATCTGAATCCAAGAATACTGTACCCAGCAAGGCTACCAATCAAAATTGAAGGTGAAATCAGGAGCTTCACAGACAAAAACAGACTAAGGGAATTTATCACCACCAAATCAAAAATGCAAGAAATGCTAAAGGGTCTACTGTAAAAATAAAGAAATAGGAAGTGAAGAAGGAACACAGGGGTATAGAATAAAAATGGGGACAAATAAGTACCTATCAATAATAACTTTAAATGCAAATTTATTAAATGCCCCAATCAAAAGATATGGGCAATGGATTGGGTAAGAAAAGAAGACCCATATATTAGCGGTCTACAAGGAACCCATTTCAGAAAAAAAGAAGCAAATAGACTGAGGATGAAGGAATGGAAAAAGGTTTTCCAGGCGAATAGAAATGACAAAAAAAGCTGGGGTAGCAATACTTATATCTGACAAATTAGATCTCAAAATGAAGGACATAAGAGATAATGAAGGCCACTACATAATACTAAAGGGAGCAATCCAACAAGAATAAATAACACTGGAAAACATATATGCACCCAATACAGGAGCACCCAAATGCATAAAAAAACTGCTGGAGGACATTAAGGGAGAGATTAATAGCAATACAATCATAATAGGAGATTTTATTTTTTTATTATTATTTTTTAAAAATATATTTTATTGTTTTTTACAGAGAGGAAGGGAGAGAGATAGAGAGTTAGAAACATCGATGAGAGAGAGTCATCGATCAGCTGCCTCTTGCACACCCCCTACTGGGGATATGCCCGCAACCAAGACACATGCCTTGACCGGAATCGAACCCAGGACCTTTCAGTCCCCAAGCCGACGCTCTATCCATTGAGCCAAACCGGCCTCGGCGATAATAGGAGATTTTAATACCCCACTATCACCATCGGACAAATAATCTGAACAAAATATCAGCAAAGAAACAACAATCCTAAATGACGCACTGAACCAAATGGAATTAATTGACATCTTCAGAACATTTCACCCCAAAGTCACAGAATATAATTCTTCTCAAGTGCACATGGGACATTTTCAACAATAAACCACATGTTAGGACATAGGCAAAGTCTCTTCAAATTCAAGAAGATAGAACTCATGTCAAGCACCTTCTCAGATCACAGTGGCATAAAACTGGAAATCAACTACAGTAAAAATAATCCAAAGAAATCAAACACATGCAGACCAAACAGCATGCTATTAAACAAGGGTTACCAGAGAAATCAAGGAAGGAATTAAAAACATCCTGGCAACAAATGACAATGAAAACACAATCCAAAATCTATGGGACACAGCAAAAGCAGTTTTTAGAGGGAAGTTCATAGCTCTACAAGCCTATTGCAAAAAAACAAGAAAAAAATAGTAACAAATTAACTCTACAACTCAAAGAGTTAGAAAAAAAGTAACAAGAAAAGCTCAGTGTAAGCAGAAGGAAGGAAATAATAAAAATCAGAGCAGAGATAAATAACATAGGGACGAAAGAAACAATACAAAAGATCAACAAAACCAAGAGCTGGTTCTTTGAAAGGATAAACAAGATTGGTCAATCTCTAGCCAGGCTCACCAACAAAGAGAGAGGCCCCAAATAAACAAAGTCAGAAATGAAAGAGGTGAAATAACAACAGACCCAACCAAAATACAAAGGATTGTTACAAAATACTACGAACAACTCTACTCCAACAAACAGGACAACCTGGGGGAAATGGACATATTCCTAGAAAAATATAACTTTCCAAAACTCAATCAAGAAGAATCTAAAAATCTCAACAGACCAGTGACTTTGGAAGAAATCGAAAAGGAAGAACTAAAACATATCCTCCTCCGACTATTCCAAAAAAACTCAAGAGGAAGGAACACTTCCAAACTCCTTCTATGAAGCCATCATCACCCTAATACCAAAACCAGATAAAGACAACACAATGAAAGAGAATTACAGGCCAATATCCCTCATGAACACAGATGCCAAAATCCTCAACAAAATTCTAAAAAATCGGCTCCAGAAGCATA